TGTGGAAATAAAATTCTCCCTCTTCTCCAGGATTATTTTTGCTTGTTTGTCTGGTTTGTTTTTCTAAATTGCTGAAGGCTGGAGAAATCTATTTGTTTAGTACCATTTCCTCTCTAGTTTGCAAAGATTGCCTTCCTGGATGTGTGTAATCACTGATGCTTCTGTTCTTATCTTATGTATAGTGTTTTTTTTTTCTATAATTATATTTTATTAATTTTCATAAACATTTACAGAGATTTTGGGCTTCCACTCATTCATTGTTGCACTATTCTCTCTACCTTCCTCCCAGTTTGTTCTTGTCCAAATGCCACAGTGCTTGTCAAAGCCAATTCTGATTAATCTTCTTTGTCAGTGTGTCCTTTGCCATTCCCTATCACTCCTCCCTGAGAGAGACTTCACCCTGAGTCATAAGGAAAAGGGGATGGCGTATTCTCTTAGCTACTTCCTGCTGAAAAGGGACGCTGTGGGTTTCAGGGTGAAGATCTTCTCTCACTACTCTAAAGGGCCCCTTTGGCAGTAGGAAACACATAGACTATTATGGAGATTGATTTTGGAATTTAGATGCACTCTTATTGATTGTGCTTGGCTGTACATGTTCATATCCTTGAAGATGTATCATGGGGGTGTTGCAACCGAGAAGACACAAATTTGACTAACAAGTTATAAGTACATGAGTCCAAAAATTATGGAAAAGTAAAAGAAAAGATTCTTTCATTGTTTTACAAACCCTCCCCCAGGTCCGCTCCACCATGTAGCCCTCGCTCTAGTCTCCTGTGATGACAGAAATACCCAGTTATATCTCTCTTTTAAACGGTTCTCTCCCTCCTCTGTTTCAGTGCAGTATACATTATTGAACCCATCTTACTCAGTCTCTCCCCAACCCCAAGGACAGTCCCATTCTACAATAGTGGCATCATGTAATATTTGTCCTTTTGTGACTGGGATATTTCACTCAGCATAATGTTCTCCAGAGTCAACCATTTTGAATAATATTGCATGAGTTCCTTGTTTTTTAATGCAGCATAGTATTCCATTGTGCGAATATACCACAGTTTCTCTAGCCATTCGTTTGTTGATGATGTATAGTGTTTTGATAAAGTATAAAATAAAACAAGCAAAACCCTTCGCTTCTCTCAGTCTTTGCACATTGGCTAGGTCTGTCTTTCAACCATTAATTAATCAGGTTTGCACTAAACTAGGGACAAGCAAGGGGTGAAAACACAGAATCTTTGGCATTCTCTGGCACGTGTTCTTCCTTGGACTCGTGCATGGCTTTCTAACTCTCCCACATACATGGATGCTTTTGAATTTCCTAATTTCCCAAAGAAATTCTCCACTCCCTTGTCCTTTGGCATCTGTTGTGTGTTTCAATTTTACCTTTTTGCTGCAGGTAGGGACCGTTGATTATAATGCTTGCATTGTGGGAAATAGTTTTCAACTCTACGTGAGCTTTGAACAGCACCGCTGTGGGCTCAGTGGTAAGGAGTTGAACTGCCAGCACAAAGGCATGTGGTTCCAGTCCACGGGCTGCTCACTGGAGGAAAGACGGGTCATCTCTTCCTGTGTGGTTTATTGCCTCTGAAGACACACTGGAAGGTCAGCTCTGAGTTGATACTGACTCAACCGCACGTAACAACAACAATATGTGAGTTTTGAAAGAGAGAGGAGAGAGATCAGGCTTCAGTCAGTCCTTCAGGCAGCCCTGGTTTTGAACAGACACACATAATAATGTCTACGCATGATTTGTTCTGTTTCTTCCAGAACCAGGCTCTGAATTCCTCTCTGGGGATGTAAGCTGCTCAAAACAAAAAAATGACCATTGAGCAGAAGAGAGAGGGCGGTGCAGGTGAGTAGAAAACACAGAAAGCTTTGTCTGAAGTAGTCTTTTTCTTGAGTTAGAGTTCTTTTAGTACTATAAACCTGTGACTTGTTTCCAGAATCGTCATGAAATGAAATGATTTCTGCCATATTCTGCTAGTTTAGGGATTTTGTGAGGGGGAGGGAATATGGCACTTTATACATCACCGTTTTGCCACAGATTCCCTTCCCTGACACTGGTGGAAGTGTTAAAGTTAGAAATGCTTCAGAAAATAGTTTGGTATTTTCCTTAAAACGTAAACATACACTTACCATATGACCTAGCAATTTAATTTCTGCATAAAAACCAAAGAAAAAGTAAGTATATATTTGCACAAAGATTTGTCCACAAATATTTACAAAAGTTTAATTTGTTGCTATATGGTGCCACTGTTGTAGAATGAGGCTGACATCGGGGTGGGGGTAAGACTGAGAAAAACTGGATAAATTATGTTTACTGCATTGAAGTCTATGAGGGAGAGAATAGTTTAAAAGTATTATATCTTAGGGCATTATGTTTATCATAAGAGTATGGAATGAGGGTTGCAGAGTGGATTATATTTGGGGTGGAGGTGGGGTTGGGCCGTGTGCAGGGGGATTGTGTACCAATGAAGGAGTTTTTCTTTTGCTTTTCAAGGAGAGGAGCGAATGGGGGGGTGGGGGTGGGGTCGGCGGAGAGAAAAGTGCAACAATGAATGAATGGAAGTCCAAAATCTCTGTAGATTTTCATTGAAATTTTTTAAAAAAGTTTAATTTGTAATAGTAATTGGAAATAACCTGTATGTCTACCAATAGGTGAATATATAAACGAATTGTTGTATGTTGTTATGTGTACCACAGAATCTGAATATATAAACTAATTGTTGTATGTTGTTATGTGTACCACAGAATCAGAATTGACCCATAACTGAGCATCCAGTGGGTTTTCAGAGGCAGTTAATCAGTTAACTGCACGGAAGGAGATTGCCCATCCTTCTCCCGTGGAACAGCTGGTGACCCTTGAATCCCATGATTTTGGGATTACAGCTCAGCTTCTTGCCACTAGGCCACCAGAGCTCTTAAAATGAATACTATTCAGGAATGAAGAACAAAATCAAACCAAACCACCCAAAACATCAAAACCCACAAACCTCAAAAGGTCCTGAGGAGCAATGATGTCAGTTTAAAGATCAAAGTGTGACTGATTCAGGCCATTGTCTTTTCAATCAAAATTGTATCTTAGAGCAAGACAATGAATAAGGATGACAGAAGAAGGATTGATGCCTTTAAGTTGTGGTGTTAGAGGAGAGTACTGAATATCTCGTAGACGGTCAAAATAAACAGATATGTTTTGGAGAAGATGCTGTCAGAGTGCTCCTGAGAGGCAAGGCTGATGAAGCTGTGTCTCACATACTTTGGGCATGTTGTTAGAAGGGGCTGTTCCTTAGAAAGCGACATCATGCCTGGACAGGTGGAAGGTCACTGAACGAGAGGATGACTCTCAATGAGATGAATTGACATAGTGACTGTGGCAATGGGTTCATTTATGTCAGAGGTAATAAAGATGCCACAGGGTTCATGTGGTTGCTATAAGTCGTACTTGACTCTATGGCACTTAACAACAATAACATTCAGTAATGAAAGGGAGTTATTGGTATATACAACATGAATAAATAATAAAATAATTATGTTGAGTATAAGAAGGTAGACAACAAAGAACATATTATGTACTTTTATTTAATCTGCAAAGGAAGACCCCGGATGAGATGGATTGATACAGTAACAAGGGCAATGGGGGTAGGTGTTTTAGAGTCAGTGAGACTGGGTCAAAACAGGGCAGGCTTCAGAGCTATTGTACATAGTCACTATGAGTTTCAGGTGACTTGATGGTACATAACAACACCAACAACAAATGGAATAAAGGCAAACTATAATGGCAGAAAGTAGGTCAGTGAATGATTAGGAATTAGGATGGAGTAAAAATGGAGCTAGTACAAAAGGGCATGAAGAAACTTTGAGACTGATGGGTATGCCTATCGCTTTGAATTTAGTGATGGTTTTAAAACCAGTTAATCAGTTGCCATCAGGTTATTTTGAACACATGGAAATATCATGTGACATAATCAAACTGTGTTTCACAGTTTTCACTGGATGATCTTTCAGACGTCCATCATGTAGCTCTTCTCTGAAGATGCCTTTGGGTGGACTTGAACCTATAGCGTTTTAGTTAGCAGCCAAGCACATTAACCATTTGCACCACTAAGGGACTCTTGTCTTGGAGACAGTGTAACCAAGGTGCCCTTTAGAGGTAAGGATGGTGAAACTTCATCCCACCTACTGTGGAAGGGATGGGCCAGTCCTTGGGAAAAGGTATCAGGCTGGTAAAAGTTAAAGATCAGAGAACGAGAGGAAGACTCTCAAGCAGATAGACTGACGCAGTGACTGTGACAACGGGTGTGAGCGTGTCAGAGATGCTGGTGATGGCACAGAACAGGCTAAGGTTCAGATCTGTTGTTCACAAGGTTGCTCTGAGCTGGACTAGACTTGAAGGCACCTGACAACAGCAAGGGATTCCTGATGATATTTTAGCATATTAAAGCAAAATTCATCACACTCTAAATTTATACGAAATTTATTAAATGTCAGCTTCTCAACAAAGCTGTTTAAAAAGGACAGCAGACCCCAAACCTCAAATTTCTGTCAAGAAGTTAATGGAAAGCTCAAGAACATCTGTGGTTTGGTTCTTGTGAGTCCTAAAGAATGAACATTACAGTTGGGTGATAGAAGGAATGGAAGAGAAATGCCAGGGCCACTGGGTTCTTACTCCGAGTCATGGACTTGCTGAGCCAGAAGAGATGTTAGAGGTGCTGAAGTCTGACTCCCTCAAGGAAAAAGCCCAAGAGATGAGGTATTTGCTGAAGTTTCATGATTCATCTGTGTAGATGCAGGGCTGGAGCTTGTCTCCCAACTCTCTCCAGCCCCAGCCCCAAGTTCAGTGTTCTTTCTGCTCTCCACACCGTAGTGTGCACATAGACACTGTCGGCCTTAGATTATTAACTTCTAGTAGGTAGGTCTGGACAGATCAGAAGACTAAGAAGGGCTGAGGCAAAGGAGTTAGATGGGATGGGGTTGGCAGAGGGTAGCCAGACCTGAGCAGGTCTTGGTCAGGTGACCTTAGTGTGTCCTCTCTGGGCACAGGGCAGGCAGCAGCACTCTCTCTTCTTGTAATCCATGGAGCAGGCATGGCAGACCAGGCCTCCGCAGAGCCTGGGGCAGAGACAGGGAGGACAGGGGAAGAATCTACAGCCCAGCCCAGGGGAGAATGTGAGCATGCGAGGCCCAGTTAGGAAACCTGAGTAACTCCAAGATACTCAAGAATGTTTCCCATTCCCTCATAGAACAACCTTGGTCTGTTTCAGGAAGTCTCCCCTTTTCTAAACAATCTCTTGATTCCTCAACCCATCCAGTGCTCTGACCCCAGTGGCAGCCTCTCCTGATGGTTCACGTCACTTTCTTTAGCTATTCGTCTTTGCTGAGTTTGCAGAAGATGGTGACAGGCAGGGAAAAAAAATTTGTACAAGTTTTTTTCCCCAGAGAGAAACTTTGAAGATTATCACAATCCCCTATTTTCACTCTCCTTTTCTGAGCTGGTGGAGACTAGGTGATCGTATAAGATGGATTCTGCACAGTCCCACATACCTGCATGGGTATCGTCGAGACAGCCGGCCAAAGATCTTGCTGCAGTTGACACAGGATGAATGGGACACAGCAGAGAGATGCTGGACCTTCTGCCACAGGTTGTCCTTCTCTCTGAGAGGGAATAGAAGTGGACACACACACACAGAGGCACAAGCAGGCGACACCCCCGCCCCAAAGATACACAGATAAAAAGCAGAAATAGATGAAGGGACAGAAAGAGCAAAATAGAAAGAAGCAAAGGAAAAGAGAGAGATGGAGATGGAGATAGAGAAAGTCACACATTAACACACACAGAGAAACAAAAAGATGAAGAACAGAGAGAAAAATGGAGAATGAGATTAGGAGAGACGGAGAGATTAAAAGCCAGAGCAAGAGAGAATGAAAGAGAGTTAGGGAGTGAGACAGAGAAACAGAGAGAAGTTCATGGAGAGACAAATTCAAAGGGAGAGAGGAAGACACAGAGAAAGAGACACAGGCAGAGAAGACAGAGAGGAACAGAGGCACAGAAAGGGAGAGACAAGTACAGAGAAAAAGACAGAGGTGGAGAGAAATGAATGCACACACATATAGAGAAGGTGATGTGTGGGGTGGGGGTGTGGTGGGGGAGAGACAGGGAGGGAGGGAAGGAGGGAAGGAGGGAGGGAGGGAGGGAGGGAGAGAGAGAGAGAGAGAGAGAGAGAGAGAGAGAGAGAGAGAGAGAGAGAGAGAGAGAGAGAGAGAGAGATTAGTATCTCAGGAAGACAGCTAGTGAAACTAAGCTCCCTCTCCCCCAGCGTAACTATGGCCCATTATTTAAGAACCTGCTCACATCCCAATTTCTCTTAGAAAAACTTTTTGATTAGAGAAGCTCTATGAGGTGGGCAGGGGGCAGGGTTCTTCCTTCAGGCCCCTATAGTACATAACACCCTTTACCTTTTCTTTGACAATTGGCAAAAGTATCTTCAATAAATTCATTTTATGTTCTTACAAACTCTCTTCACTTTTTTTCAAAGATGCTAGGAATATAGGTTACGTTTGTTTTAAAAGTTTATCAAAATAATAGATGTGCATAGATGAAAAAGAAAATAGTACCAAAGAGTTTATACCAAGAGGCACTAACACGCCTCCTACCCTTTCCTGTACTCAGAGGAAAAGCACTTTGTGCATCTGTTAGATTTTTCCTCTTAATATAACTCCCACATCTAAGTAATAGGATTATTTATCAGTGAGGAACATTTTCTATAGATTTCCTTGCTATAAAAGGATTTAGCTTGTTTATTTCCATCTTCCCAATTTCCTTTCTTCCTCTCAGTGTAGCTGTATACCCATTTTTTTGTTCCGCTGCAATTTTTCATCATTTATTTGTTTCACATTCTAAATATTTTCCACTGCTGTTAAGTCTGTTCTAATCACAATGACCTTATAGGACAGAATGGAACTATGCTACAGGGTTTCCTCAGAAACAAGGATGGTGACACTTTGTCTCACAAACTGTGGGCATGCCATCCTGGTGGGGCTGGTCCTTGAAAGGTGATGTCATGCTTGGAAAGGCAGAGAGTCAAAGAAGATGAAATCTCTCAGTGAATGGGTTGAAACGGTCACCACATCTACACTTGATACAGTGGAGATTGTGAGGATGGTGCAGGAAAGGCCTGGTTTCGATCTGCTGTACTATCATCCTTCAGTATGTTGTACATGGAGTGTGTATAAACCACTGGGGCGACTATGTGTTGGAGTTGCCTTGACGACACTTAATAGCAACATAGGGAGCTCTGGTGGCCTAGTGGTAAGAAGCTGCGTTCCAATCTCAAAATTATGGACTTTGACTCAACCAGCTGCTGTGCAGGAGACCAGTGGGCAATCCCCCATGCAATTTACTGGCTCGACTTGACGGTACACAATGACAGCACTGTAGGCTTTCCAAGGCTGTAAATCTTTGTGCGAGGAGGTGGCTACATCTTCCTTCTCCTACTTTGTGATTCCAAACTGTTACTTTTTTATTAGAAGCCTGATGTGGACTTGTTGTTGTTGTTGTTATGTGCTGTCGAGTCGTTTGCGACTTATAGATACCCTATGTACAACAACCCTAACCCCTGCTCTATCCTGTGCCAATCGCATGGCCTCTGACACACCCATCCCGATTACCCCAGTCACTGAATCAATCCATCTCATAGAGGGTCT